GTTGCTGTTGAGTAGTTGCTATTTTTCGTTTGACAGACTAAAATGACTTTAATAAGCTTTTAATCTAATGAATTACATTAGAAGTGAAGCTTGATGTATTTTGTAGTAAGATTATTGGTTTTATAGCGTTTGTGAGGGAATCATGTGGTAAAATATAACTGAACTTAAAACAATTTTTGCTTTCTCAAGTGGTGCAAAGTAGTTTTCTAAAGTGAATCTTAAGAGCGATTGGTTAATAAATGTTCAGTTTTAAATACTGACGGCTCTGCGAAGCCTATAAATGATAAAGAGGTTCTAAAAATTGATTCGTTACAAATGCAGTGCCATTAAATCAGAAAATTTAGAATAGAGAGTATAAGAAGATTCTTTTGAAGACCTTGTTGAATTTTAAAGGCCTTCGGGGTCGAATAGTTGTAAGTGAAAATGCTCTTCTTTTTTAGGTCGTCTGGTCGTTACCAGTTTCAGTTCTGTCGCTTTTTTTTATTTCTTCACTTATAACACTTAGAATTAAGTATTTAGAAGGTTATTTAATCTGACTGTCTCACTTTTTCTAAATAAATGGTTGATTGGCTATTCACCAATTTTCATTTTGTGTCAAAGTTGCATTAAGTCGACCAGAGTACAAATAAAGTAGAATCAAAATATATTAGAAGTTTCGTAACTTGATTTCTACATATTTCATTTCAGTAGATCTATTTATAAATAATCAGCTGATTGTATTATTTGGCTTTTCATGAATCCAGTGGTCAAATCCTAAAAATTCGTATACCTACATTCCTAGGTATGAAGCTAAAGCGAATATTCTACTACTTCAAAGAATCGAAATTTCTATTTTAACGATGTAAAGGTATTTATTTCGATAATGTAACTCTAGCTATATTTTTACATTTGTGACTGGTGCAATAAACAGAAAATTAGCAATTCTTTAGAACTAACGAATAGTATAATTAGTGATAAAGCCAAGCTCGACATAATTTCTCACTAGAAAGTTTGCATACCACCATCCATGATTGTACATTTTCCATTATTCTACTTTAGCTTGTCATATCTGATACATAATCGCAATCTTAGTTGATAAGTTATTAGTAAAAGACCATGACAAGATTGTGTTACATTTTCATGCTGGTAGCTACTATCCACACTCTAATTCTATCCTTATACTTACCAATAAGATAAATAGTAGCCGTCCTATATTAAGAAAATTAAATAGTATATAAAAGACGAAAAAGCACTTTAGAAAGTACACTTTGCTAACTTATTGGTGATAAGGTAAAAATAAATCAGATTTATTAAGTACTACTTTTCAAAGCCGTACGTACTATCATCTATTAATGGTGCAGTCTAAGCTAATTAAACCAATCACAATTAAAATATTCAATGCAATGAGCGTAACTATAAATAATAGCAAAAATTTTATGCGACAGAAACAAGAAATTATAATGACGTAGTTGATAAATTTGAATGGATGCTTAGAGCAGCTTGCTAAAGTTATTTTTTTATTCGTCGATATAAGCTTACATGCTTCCACTATTAACACAACAAGCCATCATGATACGCGAACTTCACTAGCTATGTTATTTCACATAGTAAAATCTTACATATCCATATCAAGAGCTGCAGAACGATTACAGGTTACTATTAAATATTATATACCCATCTCATTTTCCTTATAATTATACTTACTTATTTTTTACGATACAGTAAAAAATATCAGGTATCATTAGAGCAACTATTACAAATTAGCCTTGTGATCGTACTATAACTTAGTCATGCTTAAGATTTAATGAAACGCAACGCATAGAATTAAACATTCATTGCTTATGGCATTTACTTTGTAATTGATGAATTGACTAATAATACACTTAAGCAGTAATTCCTTTTTAGTTAAACTTACTTTCATATTCAATTTGATTAAATGTGTCTATTTTCGGTGAGTATTCATGAGCAACCTTGAATTTTGCCAACAATTTATCCTTTGCCATGTTCCTGTAAAAGTTTCAAGTACAAGCTAGGTTTACATAAGTTATAAATCCAAGTAATTATAAAGCCTTAATAATCTTGGAAAAATACTAGTCTTACCACATCCTTTGATCAATGACGTAGTATGAAACAGGTCTGGTAAATCCATTAAAATTGGTAGCTAGAACTGACGTATAGGCTCCCATTTCTATCAAGATCGTCCATAAAATATCTTTTATAGCGCAGTCTCTTTCCTGATATGATTATAAATTTTCTTACCTTCAAAGTAAATTAGATCTCCTACTTCTAGCTAAAGTACATTACGATAGAAAAATTACATAATTGTTACCAACATTCAGCTAAAGATGATACGCAAAGTTTTTGTGACTGATTATATGCTATTATTTGAGCTTGCAATAGTGGTAAAATCTAAAATATTATCAACTTTCACTCAGTATGTCACAATTGCAATATTGCAACATGTTCTTACTTCAGGAAGGTAGCATTCATGAAATATGCAATCCGACCCGCTAACAGTGGGTCCCCAAAGACAAGTTGAATATAATTTTTTAGATTTTTTTCCGTTAACTTTTGGATATCGACATCCATAGCTCATTAAAAATTCAGAAAAGGATCCATAACGTCCGTCATTAACGTAGTAATTAAAAATTTCCTTTACAAAATTTGAAAGCAAGGCCTTATTGCAGCACTTAAGAGTTAATTCTAGACTTAAAAATTACTGATATACCTTATTACAGACCTCATTTCTAGATTTCTCTATAATAGATCCCAGCACTTTTTATCATTATCTATCAATTGAATTGTAATGACTCATAAACTATCGTACACCAAAATTATCGAACATTAGCAAACATGATTACACGAGGCTAAATAATTCCTTTGAATCTTACTATGAGCTGAAATCTTCTGATCAATCCCATAAATTTTACGTTTGCCAATTACGCAAACAACTAACGTAAAGGCTGTTTCGGCAAAGTAGCGATCTATTAAAGGAAATTAATAACATCTAAGATTGTTAATTGACTGTCATTCTTAGATCCTGTATTTATGATGGAAATTGATTGCCAGATGAGATCATGTCGAGATTAAAACAATTTTTATAAAAGTAAATCTCACCAGGCTCTGCCAAAATGTGTATATTATCTTTTATTGGAAAGTCTTTATCTAAAGCGCCGCTAATATTGCTACATACCTAAAATAAGCATTAGAAGAATGGAATATTTTTAATGTTCCTTATTTTATTCAGTTATGTTCGTTAATCTAGATTCTCATACTTTCTCAAAAAGTGAATTTGCTTGGCCGGGAAATCCACACCGATATCCAACATTGAAATTATTTC